ACGACTTCGCTGCGGTGGCTTCATGCCCGAACTCCGCTGGTCTCTCTCCTGGTGGGCGGAGCTACGGAGGCTGCTAAGTTCTGAAAAAAGCACTACGCGGAAGACTTAGCAGATGGGGGCGTGGCTCGCGTTTGTCAGCTGAAGCTATGGCTCTGGAGGGGAGATTGAGGCTGGAGGAGGATCCACGAGGTTTTGTTGTTGTTGTTTTTCCTCTTTTTTTCTCTTTTTCTGAAGCAGGGTTTCTCTGTGTAGTCCTGGCTGTCCTGAAGCTCGCTCTTGTAGACCAGGCTGGACTCGAACTCACAGAGATCCGCCTACCTCTGCCTCCCGAATGCTGGGATTAAAGGCGTGCGCCACCAACGCCCAGCGGAATCCCCGAGTTTTATGTGCGTTTTTATATCACTCATGAACTGGAAACAAAACTTTAGACCCTACATTCGTGAGCCAACTCATGAAACACACGTACTGTGTGCTTTTCTTTTCGTACAGAAGTAGGCAGTTGCCTCAAAAGTCCTGGCCTCACTCCGGGCGTTGGTGGCACACGCCTTTAATCCCAGCACTCGGGAGGCAAAGGCAGGCGGATCTCTGAGTTCAAGGCCAGCCTGGTGGAGAGAATGAGTTCCAGGACAGGCTCCAAAGATACAGAGAAACCCTGTCTCAAAAAAACAAACAACAACAAAAAAAAGTGGGCTTGTCATTTGTGAGGCAGGGTCTCTCCATTTTGCCCTGGTGGCCTGGATCTCAATAAGTAGACCAGGCTGGCCTCAGACTTATAGAGATCTTCCCGAATGCTGGATTTAAAAGGCATACGCCTCCACACCTGGCTCCCTTGCGGTTCTCGCAGATGACTCTAGTTTGGTTCCCAGTGTCAACCAATTGTAGTTCCAAGGGATCCGACGCCCTCTTCTGACCGCCCCAAGCACCAGTCATGCATATCGTACACATACATACATGCAGGCAAAACACTCACACACATAAATCTCAACAAACAAACCAACCAACCCTGGCTTGCCAGGAGTGGTGACTACTAATCCCAGCACAGCCTGGAGCCTGCCTTTCCTACCCTCCCCGGCCACCCTGTGCTTGGGAGCACATCGACGGACTCCACTAGACGTTAGCAGGCAGGTCATCAATTTATTTTGAACCAGAGGAGTAGGGATGAGAAGGCGGGGAGGGAGGAGAGATGTGGAGGAGTCCTCTCAAAGGGCTCTGAATCCATGGCTGGATACATCTCAGGACTTCACTGGGTTTCGCCAACTCTAGAGAGGGCGTGGCAGAGGCTCAGCCTGAGAGAACACTGCTCAGGTCCCAACATTTTCCCAGCAGGCATTGGCTTCAGTCTATGCACCGGTGTGAGACTAGGTAGGAAATGTGTCTAAATCCCTAAGTCTTACCTAGTGCCTGCTCAAATCTTAAGGACCCCCTTTCTTTACTGCTGGTGATCCCATCCCCCAAATTCTATGTCCAGCTCCATCTCTGGCAAGTTACCTAACCTCGTAAAGTGCCTCGTTTTTTAAAATCTCTAATGGACATTATAAAAGCAGCCACCTAAAGGTTGTTCGAAATATTAAATGAATATACAAACTACTTGGGAGCCCAATGAGTAAACGCTACGAAGGATCCTTACCACCACCTCCTCCTTCTAGCTCTTGCTCCAGATCTTCGCTCCCGGTACTTACCTGTCTACTAGGGACTCTGGAGCTGAGGGCCGCTGGGCGAAGCTCTAGGAGGCTGGCCTGGGGCTGGAGGTGCTGAAAGAAGCAGCTGGCTAGAATAAGGGTTGCCTCTCCACTGCGCCAGGGTAAGCGCACCCCCTGGTGGGAGATGCTGTACTGTACTAGCCCTGAGGGCCAGATCCAAGAGAGTTCACCGTTGTGGGGCGCTGCGGGGTGGAGGGTGCGGGTATTGGGGGATAAGCTGTCTGGACCTATGGAAATAGGTGTAGGGTTCTGGCGGGACAGAAGTCGGTACCTGAGTGCGCGCAGACAAGACCGAGCCCAGCGGCTAGCGCAGCACCCAACACGAATGCCGCCAACACTAACGCCACCACTGGTGCAGGCTCCAGGGCTGCGGCGACTGGAGAGGGCGGTTGAGGGCCCACGGCCCTGCCTGGGAGGCTCTTGGACGGCCCTGAGGGGATGTGTACAAGGCTGAGACCAGGACCTGGACCTAGTTGCATTTCCCACCCGGGTTCCAGGGCATCTTGCGAGCTTACTAGGGGGCGGACGAGGTACTGTGACCACGATGGGCTGAGTCAGCGTGTGCAGGTGGGGGCTGTCGGTACCAAGGCTCTCGCCGCTGCCCGCGCATGCCTCACCCTGAGGCAGACACTGGGTTGGGAGGGAAGAAACCTTGGTGATTCCGGGTCTGGTCCCCCAGAGCTCCTAAAATGGACTTACTTAAACTTCCATCTTTCCACTAGAGCCAAGAGGTCACCACAGGACTCCCGTGCCCAAACCCTAACAGAGAAGTGGTTTCAGCCCTATAACACCCCGTATGCCAGCCTCTACGTCCCAAGTGAGGCACGCAAAACAGATTAGGACCTGTCACGGTTATCTGCATTTAGTTTTCCAGCCCTAAAAGAACTTCAGTTTCCCACCCAAGGGTCCCAGAACTCAAGGCTGTGCATTTCCTGTTTCCTGGGAAGTTCTTGTGCAGGTAGATCCACGAGGGGTAGCTCTGCACCCAGTACCCTTCCTAAGAAGAACCGAGATCTTAAAGCACTCTGCCTCCCAGGTCCATAAACCTGGAAGAGTTCTTCCCTCAGCTGCAGGAGAGGCTTGTGACTAGCTATAGAGAAATCTTCCGAGATTGCTCAGGTTACTGCTTCTGCAAGCGCGAACCTGCGATGGCGCTGGTGGGCTCGGAGACGTCGGTGTCTGGTGGACAGCTCGGTGGCGGTGGCTGCGAAGGCGGCAGCGGCTTATCTGGCAGTGCAAGAACTGCACTGAGGCGTTGAATACCGGGCGCAGGCGGAAGCTGAAGCGTTTGGGGCGAGCAGCATCCGGGTGTGGAGGTGGTGAGAAGCTGACAGAGCCGTCGGCTGGGCAGCCCCCACGTAGAAGCACCAGAGCAGGCCCCAGGGCCGGGCGTGAGGAAGGCGTTACTGAGCAGCGATGCAGAGCCAGGCCCCATCTCGGTGAAGGACGGGCCAGGGCCGCCTGAGGGACCAAGGCGCCATCAAGGTCGACTGGTCCCCATTTATCCCCACCCACCCTCGGTGTTTCAGGCGCCCGCACCTGCACAAACACAAGGCTGTCGGCCGGAACCTCCAGTGGCCCAGTGCGGCGAGGGAACGAGTCCTCTGTGTCTGATAAATCCAGACTGAAAAGGGGTCTGCGCAGCCAGGGGCCAGGTGCCCCAGGGAACGGGGGTACTGAAACGGAGCACAGAGCAAGAGGACGCATTCCTTCCAGGGAAGGGCCTCTACCTCCAGCCCTTGCCTCTCTTGGAAAAGGGACGCATTATAGGTGGTCTCTCTTTTTTTAACCAAAGCTCAGCTGCGTGCCTAATTCTCTCCAAGTTACTACCATATACCCACTAGTAGTCAAACCCTCACAAAGCTGTGCTCCTTCCTTTTCCGACCTCTTTGGCCACCTGCAGACTAGCAAGGAGATCTGGGGATACACGGGGCCTATGACGGTGGAGTTCAGTTGGGCAAGATCAAATCAGGGTTCTCTGCCTGGTCCAGGTTGCTCTAAGTCTTAGTCTAAGAGATCCATTATGACCCACTGGCCACTAAGGAGAGGGAGATGCTACCATCTGCTGTGTTCAGGAGGGCACCCTCCCTAAAAGGCAACTGGAATGGGAATTTCTGTTCAATAGAGATCCAAGACCCCAGACAAATGGAGGACAGCACCAACAGCTGATAGTGGATGGTCTCTGTGCTCACCCAGGCACCCACTCATATGTGCACACACACTACTAACATGATCTATACAGGCCAATGACTGCTATCAAGTGGCAGTTTTTTTGTTTTTTTTTTTTTTTCTCAAGAATGATTTGCACACCTGGCCCCAAACCCACAGCCCCTGCCATCACCTGGTTGAGAACTTTGAGGAAACTGGCAGAGGGGCTAGCCTGGGAGAAAGACAAGGGGATGGGACCCCCCCCCCGCCACACACACACACACACATACACTCAGGTGCAAAACCAAGTTGAGAAGCAACAACAATAGGGAAGTGGAACATGTTGCCCCCGCCCCCTGTGCCAGTCTCTACATACCAAGTGGTGCATTGAGCACAGTGGCCATCCCAGGGAGCAGGGCCAGGAGGAGTATAGTGCCCATCATGGTACCTGTCCAGGCTGCAGTGCTCCAGACCAGCAGCAGGCACCTGGTTGGGCTGTACTCAGCCCTGTGGGTAGGTGTGGGTAGACAGCCCTGGCCTTGGTGAGTCTGCCACTCTGGGAAGCAGGGAGCGGGGGTGGAGGACGCAGGGGCTGACATCAGAGCCCATGCTCAAGGCCTACATGGATAAGGGCTTTCTTGATGTGCTGAAATTTCTAGGGCAAGGGGACCCCTCACAAGGTGGCTTGCCACCCTAAGTCACTCCAAACACCTCCTGCCCTGCTCCTCATGAAGGCTGTGTTTAACCACACACTAAAAGCCCTCCTCCCAGCCCCTTCCCGAGTCTCTATAAATTCTACCAGGCTTAGGACACCACACTCAGAAGAAAAGGGAAGGGTTTTATTCTCAAGCATCTAAGGATTTACAAACAAGGGTATTTTGTTTTAAAAAGGGAGAGGGCAACACTGGTGGCCGGAGGAGGAGTCCATAGGCCAGAGGGTAGGACCAGGCCACTCCAGGTCCCTACCGGCCCGACACCCAGTCTGCCTGGGCCAGAGGGATGGCTGGTGACAGAGGGAAGGATTTGGGAGAGGTGGGGAAGTGGGATACTCCCCCAGGCTCCCATTTAACACTGGAGGGGGGTAGACACAGACAGAGACAGACAGACAGACAGACAGAGACACACACAGAAAATAAAGTTAAATAAAAATAAAACCATGCGGCCCAGTGTTGGGCCTGTGCTGGCACGGGGACCAGCCAAGTGACCTAACTACCCACGAAGGCTGCCCATGCTGGTGGCTAGCCTCATAATGGTAAAGGTGGGGGCCAGGCTTGTTATTCTACCCCTACTTCACTCCACCTCCCCAACATAGGGAATAAGGAGAGAGGGGGGTCCTGCCCCAGGCAGAGAAGATGACTTCTATTGCGATTTAAACATGCGGCATTGTGAATATGATGAAGATAGTCAATAGGATAGTTAAGAGCCACAGTGTCACCTAAGCCTACAGTTGCATCAGCTACATCCAGCAAGGTTTCTCAGCTTTGGTGCTGGGTTTTGTTTGTGGTTTTAAAGTATGTTTTGTTTTGTTCTGTTCTATTGTTCTCTTGTCCACTTGATTAGCATGCATCACCAACAAAAAGGAAACATACCCACCATATCCTGACTATTGCAGGACAATGGGACAGACACCTGGCCCAGTCCAGGCCACAAGGTGGTTTGGAGCTGGCCAGCTCTAGGTGAGCTAAGGGACGCTCAGGGGCACAATGGGAGTAAGTCACTTCACACCAATACCCTGGCCTCCCTCGCACTCAAGCATGTCCATCTTGTCCCTGACACACGTGCTCGGACCTCCACGTCTACTCCCATAACTCCCAATCCCTGACTTCTTCGGAACCCCTCCTTCTGCCCCTCAGCCTCACTCCTGCCACTGATTCCCTCCAGTCCCTCCCTCCTACCTGCTATTCTCTACTGCACCTCTCAGACACCTTTCCGGAAGGCCATCTGTGTGGCCAAGGCCCCTTGGTCTCCCTCTGTACCACCTGAGCTCTTTTACTCAGCCCCAAGCTGTAACCAGTCCCCAGTCCCATGTGAGGATCCCCCAATTGTGCCTGGTCTCTCTGGGCCAGAACTGACAAAGAGCAGCAAGCAGTCCAACCCTGCAATGCCTGAGGGCAATGGAGAGGAGGGGCCCACCACAAGCAGCTAAACATTACTTTGGTAAAAGTTTCTGAAGGTACCGACACACCCCATGAGGACAAGCCCCCTCCCACACCCCACCAAGTACAATAAAATACAATAAACTCCAAAAAGGACCCCCTGAGATCAAAGAGAGAGACAGACAGACACAGAGACAGCAACCCATTTGGCTGCAGTCGCAATGCCCACAAAGCTATCCTGGGGCAAGGATTTGAGGAGGCCTGGGTGGACCTGGGGCTTCCACCGAGGGGTAGGAGTGGCTGGGCCCAGGCTTAGGTTAGGAGAGAGGCAGAGGTTGGAAGGGAGACAGGAAACCAGAAAGGGACAGAGGTAGGAAGGGAGGGGAAAAAGGGAAAGATGGAGAGCAAGCATGTGTGAAAGTGGAGAGACAGACACTGGGAGTGTGGGGGAAAAGGACAGGGGCTTTCTCTCTGCCCCTAGGGGCCACCCCAGCCCAGAGGTTATGATTGAATAAATAGCGAGTTTGCTCATGGCCTGCTGTCTTCTGTTCACAGTGTCTGTCGGGGTGGGGTGGGGTTCGCATAGCTGGCTGACCCCAGAGTGGGAAGAATTAGGGACCAGCATGCCCATCCGTCCACCGCTGGTGGGTAGGGAGTCAGAGGTGGATGGGTACCCCCTACTTTCTGTCCTCAGCCCTCGGCAGCCGTCCAGGTCCCAGGTCCCCTGATGGGCAGCTGGATTGGCCAGGTGGGAAAGGGGGGCCTGTGGCCATGCCCCTGGGCCCCTGTGGGGCTGGCCGCTGCCATGAGGCTACCTGAAGAAGGGCAGGTGGTGTTGGCTCAGGACTCCACTAGTCCTTGGAGACTCGGTCTTTGCCATGACGTCCTTGAACCAGGACGCCACATCCACCTCGAGTGTCTCATAGTGCTTGATGAAGCTGTGTTCCTGTAGGCCCAAGAGTTAGCTTAGGATGAGGGGTCAGTCCTCATGGTCCTGCAACTGAGGCCGGGACGACTTCACATGTGGTGGGGATTGGGGGCTAGGTACTCACAAGTAGCTTATTATACTTTGGTCTCTTCCTGTGATCTTTAGTAAGGCTGGATGAAGAGTGGGGAGAAAAGAGAAATTAAAGTCAGGGAGCGAAGAGAAATGAGAATCAGGGAGGTGGAGCCTGGCTGTGCCTGGATGCGCACCTGTGCTCAGGCCCTCCCCAGTGAAAAAGGGGTCTTCCAGATCAGCCAGAAGCAGCTGCTCACAGCCAGGCTCCACCAGGCTGGGGATCCACAAAGTCTCCTGGCCCAGGGTAGCATGGTGAAGACCCAGCTGGGGAGTTGGAACCAGATATGAGGTTCATAACACAGAAAGTAAAGACTCAAGTGCGGTCTTCTGCATAACCTCCATGGCAAAGCCCTAGGGTTACCACGCCAGACACTCACAGGGCCAGTTGTCCCCTTGGGCCAGGTCCAAACCCAGAAAGTGATTCCTAAGGCTTTAGCTTTAAGTCCTATCTATAGCCTCTAGCCATGAGCCTACCTGCAACTGTGCCCACCTCATCCCCTTTCCCCAGCAGCATGAGGACACCTGACATTTCAGAACATCCCAAATAGAGGGATAGGAGAAAGGACAGGCAGAGTGGGGGTGCTCACCAGTCTTTCACGAATGACTGGAAGTCCCCTGAGAAGCCCATGTGACCAGGCAGGAGTGGGGGCTCTTCCTGTAGGACTTTGGTGAGGACCTCAAAGTCCGTCTTGCAGTTCTTGTAGGGAAACTGTCCCGTTGCTAGCTCCACCTGGGAGGTGACAGGCATTGCTGGAGCAGCAGGTAAGAGATCCCTGCCGTCCCACCAATCCCCCATACAAGAGCCCCAACACACCAATGATATGCCCAGGCTCCACACATCGGCTCGGATGTCATAGTCAGGCTTGGTGGGATCTGGAGGGTCAATGCGTTCAGGCTGCAAGGAGAGAGAAGGAGAACATACCCTGAAAGTAGGGCCAGTCCACCCAGCCCCCTTGTCAGATCCAGCAGGCCCCACTCACAGCCATGTAGGCGGCACAGCCAGCACTCCGCGTTTTGGCCTTAGAGTCAACAAGGCGGCCACTGATGCCAAAGTCACAGAGCTTGATCTGGCCCCGCTCATCTAACAGGATGTTGGAGGGTTTGACATCACGATGGATGACACCATGCTTCTCCTTCAGATAGTACAGCGCTTTCACAATCTGTAGGACAGACAGGTTCAGGGACCTGTCATGGGAGGACAGAACCTAGAGGCACCCACCTAGTCACATGAGCCCAGACTTAGCCACTCACTGCCACAGTCATCTTGCCCAAGATCCGCTCTGGAATGGGGCCCTGCATTCGCTTCTTCAGCTTCTCTGCACACGTGCCCATGAGCTCCATGGCAATGAAGACATCTGTCTGTAGAAGGAGGGTGGCACACAGGGCTTGGGGCGGCCATGCTTTCCTCCCCACCCTAGCCACACTCTGGTACCTGGGGATATGTAGAACCCTAGGGGACAGAAGGATGCCCTGAGACTTCTGGGCATATAGGACCCTATTGGGGCAGAAGGCTTGGCCCCTCAGGCATGGTGCTCACATTGGTGATGAAGGTGCCAAAGCACTGAACAATGTAGGGGCAGTCATGGCTCTTGAGTACCACGTCCAGGTCCATCAGGATGCGCTTATTCTCCTCCTTGTTCCCCGAGCGCCGCATTTGCTGCAAGGAGGGACAGCCAGGAGGGGAGCTTCAAGTGCTGGGCAGGCTGCAAGGGCACAGGATACATCCTGGAACTGGGGTGTGGAAGGCTCACCTTGACAGCAATGATGTGGCCTGTCTTCCGGAAGCGCATCTTCCACACCTGACCACAGGTACCGCTGCCCATCTCGCCCAGGTTCTCCAAGTCATTGATTTCTGCCTGATAACGCTGAGTGGAGAGCAAGGCAGCTGGAGGGTCCCCAGAGGGTCCTCTGCTCCTATCACCCACCACCTCTAGCCTGCCTGGGTCCTGTCACAGCCCCCAGGGTGCCTATGGGGAAGTAGTACCTGGCCCCCGATGGTCAGGTACCCTGTCTGCTTCATGATTTCCTGCAGCTTCTGGTCAATCTCGATGCTGAAGGAAAAAACACGAGCTGATCAGAAGGGTCCCACAGATACCACCCACCTCTCTGGGACCAGCACAAGGAGGGCCCTGTGCTGTCCCTGCTCCACCAGCTTACCTCTCCATACTGCGGGGTGTGAACAAGGTTGATGGGAGCCCCAGCATGTTGCGGGGCCGGGTGGGGGGCGTAGGGTGCTGTGGGGAGCTCTCTGAGGATGGTGAGCGGCTGCCCCCATCGTTGGCCAGTGGCAGCTGCAGGGCTGGCGGGTTAAAAACCAGGGGCATGAAAGGAGTTAGCATCTAGCTAGTCAAAAAGGGGTGGGGGCCCCCATCTTTTCCTCTCTCATGTCCCTTTGGCCAGGCTGGCACAGCCCCCTGCTCTGCTGGCTGGGGCCTCCTTCCCCACCCCCTGGGGCATCTTTAGGGTACCATCTCTGCCCCTCTGATCTAAAAAGAGATGGGATGGGCTGGTGGGAGAGGGGTGGTCTCAGAGGCTGGG